AAATTTTCTAAAACGCGAGGCTTTGCCATTTAGGATTTAACTGTCAGAGCGAAGGAATATCGTATTGCACGAGATTCGGTGGTAAAACATGTTTAATTATTTCTGACGATATGAAGTCAAACTTGATCTTTCCTTTTCAACGATCTCAGATTTGCCAACCCGCAAGATATTTGGTGGTTTTCTCCCATTAATCTTGGAACCCCCTTTTTTTGACGACCAATGCATTTGAATGGGGACATATAGTTGGAACCCTCCCATTTATCCTGGGTTGGGACCCCCCCTTTAAAAATGGCTGGATCCGCCCCTGACATGTATGAGAGACGCAGTACTTCATTTTGCATTTAAAATCACCCAAGGAGATTTTGAGAAGTTTGCAATTATGTGATCTGTAAAAAATCGTGTTTTTTAATGGACGTCATCAGGTATGGTCTTGTTTTAAGCTCACTTTGTCATAAGGGCCAATCTGAACCTTTTCCCTACACTTGGCGTCTGTTAACGTTTTTCAAAAATCTTCTCTGAAACTGCTGGACCAATTGAACAAAACTTGGGTGCAATCATCCATAGGGTATCGTGTTTAAAATGTGTGCCCAATTTCATGCCTGCCCACAAACATGACCACCAAGTGAAATAAACATAGGGGTAAAGTTCAAGTATTACTATTTATCTTGTAAACCGTTTAATATAGAGAAAAACTGAAAGCTCAGAATATCAAGATCTATACATACTCTCCATTTTGTCTACAATTGTCAGACGAATCCTTTTAGGATTGATAATCCTGAAAGGACGATTTTTTACCAACGTTTGACGATGTTTTCTATTTTCTTGAAACTATACTAGTCAACAAAAGAAACGATAGTATCATACAAGGAAATGCATTATCAATATGTAATGACATTGGATACCGTGACACGGTAAACCAAGCCCAAAAAAACCCTCCTCATTTGGTCTAATGTTTTCTAAAAAAAAAAGTAAAATAACAAAAATACCGAACTCCAAGGAATGATCAAAACGGAAAGTCCTTTCACAAATGACAAAATCAAAAGCTCAAACACATCAAACGAATGAAAAGCAAAACCAATAATTTAAGGCAAAAAACGTGGATTCTCTACTCGCAATGGATTTATCAAAAATGACCTTTTCACCCAAATTAAGAAACTTTAACTTAAAACTTGAAACATGAACATAGACTGATTAAAATGATTTTCTTAAAATGTTGTATACTGAATTTCCCATTTTTGGAAATTGGGTGCCGCCTTTTTTACATCATTTTACCGAAAAATAAATTTGACCTTTTTGTTCAATAACAGGATATTTTATCACTTTTCAACTTATTTTTCTGAATCACACTCGCGTGCTTTGCACATGTGTCGTCTTTTTATTTGATAATCTTAACATTTTTTTCCTATTTTTTATATTTCATGATCAGTTTCAGTTCAACTTGTGTATCGTTGCTGAAGTTTTTGTATATCGTTACTGAAGTTTTTGTGTATCGTTACTGAAGTTTTTTTGTATCGTTACTGAAGTTTTTGTATATCGTTACTGAAGTTTTTCGTTACTGAAGTTTTTGTGTATCGTTACTGAAGTTTTTGTTACTGAAGTTTTTGTGTATCGTTACTGAAGTTTTTGTGTATCGTTACTGAAGTTTTTGTTTATCGTTACTGAAGTTTTTGTGTATCGTTACTGAAGTTTTTGTATATCGTTACTGAAGTTTTTGTGTATCGTTACTGAAGTTTTTGTTACTGAAGTTTTTGTGTATCGTTACTGAAGTTTTTGTGTATCGTTACTGAAGTTTTTTGTGTATCGTTACTGAAGTTTTTGTGTATCGTTACTGAAGTTTTTGTATATCGTTACTGAAGTTTACTAGTATACCGCTGATAAAGAGAAACTGTAAACGGCAAAAATAAACAGCAGGACGAACTATACAAAGTCAATGTGGTTGAAACCGTAAGTCGATTCTCTATCGAAGTTATTGCTTCGACTGACGATATTACTCATATTTTTATTTTTACGCAGAAACTATAGAAGATAGAGAGAAATAGATTGGCATAAAAATGAAAAGAAGGACCAAATCTATTAACAAGTCAAAATAGTTAATTGATTTTTTATAGGAGTTATTGTCCGTGAGTGACAATTTTTATCCGTATATGTTTATTGTGTCAATGACGTATCTAATATACGTCCTTGATTGTGTTAACTATTTTAGACAGAGAGAAACGAGAAAAGGCAAAACTGATCAGCTGGTTATTAATTACTAAAAAGGAAAACAAACTACGAAGCAAAGAGAACCTGTACATATGCATAGCCGGAAAATGATCAGTCAAGATCTTCAAAGAAGTCAACATGGCCGAAATTATCAGCCAACTCATTATAAGAGTTATTATCCTAAATGACGATTTCTTACCCATTTTGTGTCGTTTATTTTTAGGAAACAATAGTAGATGGAGAGAATCTCCAAACAGCTAACCCCAACGTCTGTACCCCAATTTGTATGTTGAGGTTCCCGCTTGATAAATCGGCCAGGAATTAAAGAATATGCGTGTTTTACTGTTTATAAGATCTAGACTGACATATTTTGTTGAAATTATTTTTTTTATTCTGAATAAATCCACAGCGACAAATAGCGAATTACTGAATCATGTCTCTTTTATATCGTTATGGTATACGACTAAGACAAATCTACGGATATTTTAACGACCATTGATGATCAATTAAACGTAGTCATAGAACCAGAACAAATACGGCGAACGATTTTATTGAAGCTATCATATGAAAGTTAAATATATATATATATATACCATGGTAAATGTTAATTGGAAATGCAAATAGGAAATCTTATAATGTGTCTATGTCAAATTTCAAATTGTATCCATGGGGAAATCTCAGAATTGATTACTTCTTGAAACAGATCGATTAAAACTTCTAAAGGTTATTGAAATAAGAAGAATATATATATCCACTGATTTTCTTTTTCTTTTCTTTTGTTTGTTTTTTTTTTTTTTGTGATATATACATGAAATATACCAACCTTACAGTTTCTAATTACAAATCCAGTTACAAATAGTTAAGATGTAGGAGGGTCTGGATGGGGGTGTGGGGGCTTTTTTTTTTTGGGGGGGGGGGGGGGGTGCCCTTCATTTCTATAATGTATTGCCCAATATTCTCTATTCTTTATTTATTTTGCGCAATATACTCTATTCTTTATACTGTTGATTCATTTATTTTTCGTGGGTACCAATTTTCGTGGATTGAGGAATGCCTGTATTTTCGTGGATATTTGATTTAATGGTTTAACCAAAGTCTGCTTACAAACCTATAGAAAATTTGCGACTCGTTGAACATCTAAATTCGTGGTTCACCTGTACCCACGAAATCCACGAAAATTGGTATCCAACGAATAATAATGAATCCACAGTATTTAAGCACCCAATTTTTCTCCATTTTTAGCGCTTTTCTCACCACTGGGCGTCCGTCGTCTGCCGTCGTCGTCCGTTAACTTATACAAAAATTTTCTCCTCTGAAACTACTGGACCAAACAAACTATGCAATAATCATCATTGGGATATCTAGTTTTAAAAATGTGTCCGATGACCCCACCTGCCAACCAAGATGGCCGACATGGCTAAAAATAGAACATAGGGGTAAAATGCAAGTGTTGTCTGTTATTTTGAAAACCGTTATAAAAAGAGAAAATCTGACGGGGCAAAAATGTTCAGAATGTTGAGCTCTACCAATTGTTTGTTGACATCAAAACTGTCAGGCGACTTCTTATGGGAGTTATTGCCCTTAAATGACAAATTTTACCATTTTTTTCATTTTTGCCTTTTATCTTGAAAACTATAATAGATACAGAGAAACTTTAAAGTTGCAAAAATGATCAGCAAGACAAGGTCTACGAGTAAGTATGATGGTTGAAATCGTCAGTCAACTCCTCATTGGATTTATTAACCTTTGATGACGATTTTTAATTTTTTTTGAGATTTTGCCTTATATCTTAAAAATTACAATAGATAGATAGAAACTTATATAGCAATACAAAATAAACAAAAAAGAAATTGTGTCATGAACTCTATCTGTCTATTCTTGTCTACTATGTTGGAGAGAGTCCATTGTTGATTATACACATAGACCTAGGTGAGCGACACAGGCTCTTTAGAGCCTCGAGTTTATTATTTTGGCCTTATGATTTTTCTTTATTCTTTTTCGCGCATTTTTCTGTACTCTTGTTCCATTATTCTCTATGCTGTAGCCCCAACCAGACTCCTCTCCTTGTTTTTATTGTATTTTACTTTATGTACGTCTTGTTAATCTACTGATCAAAACAAAATCAATAGCACACTGTTACAAAATTATAAAAAAAAAATACAGAAAAACTATTAATTAGACACGTATTGATGAATCTCATTTTTGTAATTCTAAAGATTGCTTTATAAAAGACTTTTGACAAACAATTCAATTCTAGAATTATTTATACTTTGAATATGAAAACAAAGAGAGATGTGGTATAATTGCCAATTGGACAACTATCCACGGGAGTTCAAATGAAATTTAAGTAAAATAACAAAAATACCGAACTCCAAGGAAAATTTGAAACGGAAAGTCCCTTATCAGAGGGCAAAGTCAAAAGCTCAAACACATCAAACGAATGGAAGACAACTGTCATATTCCTGACTTGGTAGCTGTAAGCAATTATAGGCCACTATATATGCGGCCTTCAACAATGAGAAAAACCAATACTACAGTATAGTCGACTATACTGAGGTTAAAAAGTTTTATTTCTTCATCCAATTCCTCTTAATTTACTTCAGATTACAGCAAAGACGAGATATGGTAACCCAAATGGCCTACCTTTTCATGACAAAAAATGTTCATGTTTCAACAGCTATAATCTACCTGGGAAATTATATATATTGACAGTATAATATTCCAAGAATATAATTACAATAAATTGATTATTGATAACATTGATATAAAACTGATACAATAAGAAAAATCCCCAACAATGGATGTTGCAACAGATGTCAAAATAACGTAATCTTTAGACGACATATCAGCCACGAAGTTGTGTAAACTGGTACCCAATCCTTTATCTAGTTTGCTCTATCCGTTGATGTAATGGGAGAGGACAAGCTTAAGTGGTATAGTTGAACAAGAAGGTACTCTAAATAAAGCACCAATATATCACTTTACGTCAGCAAAATGGAAATTGATCATAATAATAGAGAATCTATAGTACGAACTGGAAAAAGGTCAAATAGGGACTTACACTGTGACGATATTAAAAGAAAATGGACGAGATTTTTCGTTGTAATCTTATATCTGTGTACCGTTTCATTAAGTACCTTAGTATTATCAGTATATTATTATATATTCTGGACTCCAATTCCAAAGATATTTGATATAAGTTTGACTGAAAACGAGGTTGGGGCTGCTCTATCGGATGGAGGTCTCCTTGTTGTGAACAGAAAAGGCTGAGGTAGGCACACATTTTTTTTTATAGTTATAATCTTAAATAATCAGGTAGAACAGTGTTCTACTGTGCGTACTGTTGTACGTTTGTTTTTTCTACATTGGCTAGAGGTATAGGGGGAGGGTTGAGATCTCAAAAAACATGTTTAACCCCGCCGCATTTTTGCGCCTGTCCCAAGTCAGGAGCCTCTGGCCTTTGTTAGTCTTGTATCATTTTTAATTTTAGTTTCTTGTGTATAATTTGGAGTTTAGTATGACGTCCATTATCACTGAACTAGTATACATATTTGTTTAGGGGCCAGCTGAAGGACGCCTCCGGGTACGGGAGTTTCTCGCTGCATTGAAGACCCATTGGTGGCCTTCGGCTGTTGTCTGCTCTATGGTCGGTTTGTTGTCTCTTTGACACATTCCCCATTTCCATTCTCAATTTTATTATTAAAAATAGAAAGATACACAATAGAATCCCTAACACCGGTATTACTTATATTATTCAGAGGACCGAAAACTCGAGGGTTGATGTTGTATGTGATAGAAATTCTTATGAAAATATATTAGATAACAAATTCAGAATTAAAAGGGGGTACAGAGCAGAGTATGAAATATATATTTTTGATTGTTTGAACCTTTATAAAACTCACATAAACGAAAGTGAAAAGTGCTAGAAAATACTATAAGTTATTCGGGATCTTCACAATGGATGCAACATGCTCATATTCCCAACCAGTGTTTTAGATCCTGCTCTATCGGATGGAGGTCTCCTTGTTGTCAATAGAAAAGGCTAAGGTAGGCACACATTTTTTTTATAGTTATAATCTTAAATAATCAAGTAGAACAGTGTTATTAAAAAATAGAAAGATACACAATAGAATTCCTAACACCGGTATTACATATATTTAGATCCTCCGAAACAATGAGTACCCTGATTTCAACATTTATTTTTATATGTATTATTGTTTTTTGTTCACAGGGGATATGGGGGTCATATACCCTGTCAAAGTAACCAATCAAATTGATTGATTAAATAAGGTTCAAACAATCAAATCATCCCTTCGAAAATTTTACGGACGCCATCAAGAGTTGGTTGACCGTTATGGAATATATGTTTCACAAATGACTGATATGTTCCAATCGTCGCAACCACAATCCCGTCAACCTTTTCTCCTGATATAACCTACCGAATTAGACTTATCACCTGGTTTGTCCTTACATGAAAATCACGACGGGTGCCACAAGTGGAGCAGGATCTTCTTACTCTTCCGGGGCACCTGAGATCCTGATTTGGTACAGGCATTTTTCTGAAAATGGTGGGTTAAACCTTGTTATATAGCTAGCTAAACCCCCTACTTGTATGACTGATGACTATAGCTCCGTTATATTGACAAAATTGGACGAGGAACCAAAACAGACGTACATGTAATAGGTTAATTTGACAATAACTGGGATTCATAAGCCAAAACTGTGTATCAAACCAGCATCAAATAAAGAGATGGGGTCAATTTCCTCGGAATCAATTTCCGACACTAAGACCACTTTCAGAAAGTCCTTTAATATTCCTTCGGTGCCATTTTTTTTTATTAACAACACGTAAACTTTGCATATATAAAATTTATCATCAAAAGCAAAGTACAGTGTGGAATCTATACTTCTTGAATATATAATTTTTCAAAATTTCTTGCAATCGTAGACTCGATCCGGTGTCAGTATTTTACTCTTTATAATTCGCCTTTTCGGAATCTAATGCATTCTAGGTAATATTTTCAAAATTGTACACAAAATCCCAACAATAGAAATTCATCCAATTACTTGACGTTATTTTCGTTTTTGGGTACGAACAAAGAAACTAACTAGATCTTTATATTCTGAATTGTCTCGTTCGTGTTCAACTTACTTCATGCATCATCTAAATAATGACTAAAAAATGTTTCCAAACAACAAGACACAACAACGTACCAAAACGAACAAGAAAAGACCCAAATTTAATCAAATATTTCAAATAACAGCGCACAACTACATTCTAAAAATAAAAATACATTTGGTCTAACAACATTAAATCCATTGTAACGGAATAAGCAATTGAACTTGACGAAAAAGGCTCACTGGCTTCAACAGTAGTTATTACAATTAACATAAGCTTTATTAGTTGACAATACAAATTTTGCAGATAAATATAAATTAATGACCGCCATTTCGCATGTGTCTTCTAGTGACATTATAGTTTTATGGATGTGTTAACTTTTATTTAAAAAAAAAACGTTACAGTTTGATGTTAAACTCTTTTATATTCAAAACTTACAAAGGTTTCTTATCCTTTCGGAATTATTATGCGACGGAGTGGAACAAATTCCAGGATAAATTGACCACATCTCTTTTGTATATATAAATGTAAATAAGATTGCTATAACGGATACTTTGTGGAAATCAGAACAGAATCAGGGGATTGTTAAATGACAATCGAATCTATAATTACATTATTATATTGTCTTTCAAATCTTAATGGGTTTATCACTTGATGTAATACAATATCGGTATTCTTCTAGTTTCCATTGATCACAATCATATTAACAAGGGAATCTCAATATTACAAAAACATTCTTTGCAGATGACAAGATTAATGTTTCTCAAAATTCTCCGCTACAGAAGTCAACAGCATATTGGTAAGGCCAAAATAAAAAGTATGTGTGTTTACTGTCATCCGACCTATCCTTTTTTAACCTCCTATTCCAATTTTTAAAATAACTTTCAATTAATTATCAGTATTGAAGTCACTAGCTTCCCTCAATGAATTCTAGGTAAAAAAAAAACCATTTAAAGTTTAAAAAATCCCTACATGCCGACTCTAATTTGTTTCACCAGGTGATATTAAACGCGGGTATATTTTATTTGGCCTAATGAGAGAGAAAGTCTCTATTCTCATGATGCTGTTTTGAACTGATAATGCTTCAGAAATGATTTTACACAGGTTTAAGATTGGCAAAAATGTAATTTATAGAACTTTCTTATGGTAAATGAAGTTTCACAGACGCAGATATTAGTCGTAGTTATTGTAGAAATTGTTCAGTTGATCAGTCGGCAATACTCGAATACGTAATCTTAATTGTTCAGTTCGAAAGGATTAAGGCGATTGCATTGATTGAAATAATGAAATGATTATAAACCAAATGTAATTCCAATAATTACATTAAACACACGGTGGCTGTGTATTCCAAGATAATTGTGTTACAATCACAAACGACTTAGCATAGTTGTTCTTGTTAGCAAAACACGGAAGTCAATGAAATTTGATGTCAATCTTGTTTGTTCTTGATCAATAATAATTGTCTGTATGGATGTTAGAAACAATACAATCATAATTATCTGTTGCCCAAAGTTATTATTGCATGACCAATCCTTTTGACTGGTATCATTTTACACCATGTGATGCTAGATACCAGTTGAGGTACCAGTATGGATGCTGACAAATTTCCGAACGGCAAACATCGTGGTAATAAAAGTATGACAGCACACTACCATCACAATAGGACTGAGTGGACATTTAAGACCCCATGGGTTAGAACTCTAACGGTTTTTGTTTATCTTTTGTGTGTTTCTCTTTCTGCTATTATTCTTGGAGTTTATTATCTATTTTTCTGGGACCCGTGTGTGGGTAAATGCAGGCAATTTGGAAACAATAGGTAAGTTTGTATAAATCATTAAGTAACTTATTCAAATTGCTAATAGGTAAAAAAAAAAATATGTGGTTGTTATTCTTCTCCCAAACTACCCATTATAAATGCTTCGTTTTTAAATATTGACAGTAAATATTGCTTCACGTCACTAAATGAGACAACCCAGTCCTACAGCCCTACACCCCCCCCCCCCCCCTCCCCCCCCGAAAAAAGTGTCAAAAAGAAAGAAAAAGTTTTTATGTAATGCATTTGATTGTTTTTTGTTCTGTGTCTGACATTTTAGACTATTTCATTTTTATACGCCTTAGAAAATCTAAATTATAAGTTGGGGAATTGTGTGAAACCCAAACAAACCAAAGTTAAACAAAGAAACACATGCAACACAACTTACAATTCAACTAGACACAAATAGTAAAATAAATAAATAATTTGAAAACATGTATCTTATAGATTTATACATCTATAATTGTGTCTTTCAAAATGCAAAATACGAATCACATTAAAACTTGTTCTTTGATGATAAATGAGATATTTGATATCACGTGACTAGTCTCATCTGGAACACACTACGAGCTCTTAACAGAAATAAAAGCGCTGTTCCTTTGATTTTGGTTTTTCGTGTGGGCGTTGTGCATATGGCAAAATTTGGGGTAATTTGCTAATTTGCATAGCGGCCATTTTGCCTTATCATGACGGCAGCCATTGCAATAGGATTATATAAGCCCCTTAAATAAAAATGCCAATATGCCAATACCTATCTCGAATGAACAATTTGTTCGCATATAGGTGAATTGTACATGTTTTTAGGCTTCTGTCCGTGTACAAATGGACATTGTCTACTCTGAAATCTTTCGGCCTTTTTAGTTTAAAAATCGGAAGCGTAGTCATAGTATAATTGCTTTATAAGATCATATAAAATGACGGAAAATCGTAAAATAGCAAGATTCAAAACAGAAATACATATGCAAGAAGATATTGTTCATGATTTGTTCGCATATAGGGAAACACCTTGTAGGTTGAATTTTAAAGTTAAATAACTTTTAACTTACCTGCTTTCTTAAGTTTTCGGCCAAATTCTTTTCAAAAAATGATGATTTCAACCTTCCCATTTCATAAAAAGTCAAATTTTAAGCATTTTCCCTTAGAAATACACATCATTTTTTGTAAATATCCGCCAAAGGAAGTTTTTAAAGATACATTAGTTTTAGATACATGACGGAAAAGGACGTGATTACCCGCAAATCTAAAATAAATTATATTTTCAATCTTAAGCTAAGGGAGGTAATTTGATCAAAAGGGACAAAGTCACGTGGTGCAAATCATTTGAATAAAGTACCTTTGA